ATTTTTATTTTTAATCAATTTATTATTATAGTAATGCTATTATTAATAAAATTAATATTTATTAAGAAATAAGTTAAAGAATAAGAATTTGTTTATAATTTTATAGAAACTTAACAATTTCTTTACTATTATAATATAAATAACTTTACAAATAACTTGCTTTACAATGAAACCTTTAATATGCCTTTTAGTTATTCTAATACAAGTGCTTTTAACAAACTTTTAACAAGAATTTTACACTTCTTCTTCCTTTACTAACTATTTATAATTTTTTACTAGTAATATTCAACAATCTTTAACTAATAATCTCAATATATTACCTATAACTTATAATTTTATATAGTATTTTACAACTCTCATTTATATCTTTTCCTACCAATATTTAACCTTTAACTAATATTTCAAGCTTATTATTTACAAATTATACTTATATAAAACTCTTATATTAGATTCATAGTCTTATTGTAAACAAATTTCATTTTTTTCTAAATTCTCTAACTAACTCTATTTTAAATATTGAAAATATAAATAATTTACTCTAATTTTTAATTATATTATTATTTTTAACAGAATATTTTTATTAAACTATTAAATAAAAAGTATTTAATAATAAATTTTTTTTCATTATATAGGAAAAAAAGGTTTTATTTTCAAGGTATAAATAAATTTTTATAAGAAATTAACAATGTAAATATTGAATTAGTTATTAGAATTATGATAAAGTTTCATTTAGAAAAGTGATAAAGTTTCATAAAATTGAGAGTTTAAAATATATATATGTTACATGTCAAGAAAAATACATAAATTTGATCAAAAAAGATACATAAAATGAGATGCATAAACTTGCATATTTTGATAAATCAAGAAAATATTACCTGATAAATCAAGAATAATAAATTTACTTTTGAGTCACTTTGTTTTACTATATATTTCAGAAAACAATTTTTTTAATAAGAAAAATTCTATTAGTTACCTTATTTGTCACAAAAATAATTTTGGCCAAGTTTAATAATTATTGTTCAAAAAATCATATAAGTTGAAAAATGTGTTAATAATACTAAGATAGTTAGTAAAATTTTATTTTTATTTTTAAATTGAAAAACTTTTTATATTTCTATTTTAATATATAAATTAAATTATAATATACTAATTTTTATAAAAAAAAATTGTTATTTTAAATAATATTAAAAATAAAAAGTATCTATTATATCTAAATACTAATCCAAAAATAATTTTTAAATATCTATTAATTGATTTTTACACAATTTTTTTATTTCAAAAGATATTAGTTATTAATAATTAATTAGTATAGTTAAAACTGATTATATCAAATCTCTTTATAATAAATAGTGAATATAACAAACTCAAAATTTTAAATTTTTAAAAAATCATTATAAAAGTTTAATAATTATATAGGAAATATAATAATTTATATAATAAAATTTTTCTAATAAAACTATAAAAAGTATTAACTATATTATAAAATTTTATGTTTAACAATATAATCTATTAAAAAAATATTAATAATATAACATCTATAATAACTTTTAAAAATAAAATAATAATATTATTATAATCATTAGTTTCATATAATTAAAGTTTTATTTATTTTATATATAACTTTTTATTAATTTAAAAATTATTTAATAAATACTAATATAATCCATAAATTTTTTACTTTTAATTTTAATAATCATAGATTATAAAATAATGTTATAATTTAAATTATAATAATCTTTTATAAAATATAAGAATATTGAATTAATATAATAAAAAATTATATTAATTTTTTAAATCTTAATTAAAACTTAAAATAATAAAAATAAATATTTATATATATAACTTTTTATAATTTTATATCAGTTTTTATAAAACTTTTATTTAATAGGATTTTTAAAATAATTATTTTATATAAAATAAATATACTTAAAAGTATATGTAGATAAAAATTTAATATATTATAATTTTATATATTATATACTATATAAAAAAAAAATATTTAATTTTTAAAATATAAATTTTTTTATTTTACTAATTGGAATTTTTAAAAAAATATTTAGAAATCTAAAACTAAAATTTATTAGATTAAATAAAATAATATTAATTTTTAATAAAAAATAAAATATTAATATTAATAATATAATTATTATATAAACAATATGAATTCTTTAATTAAATTTGTTTATAATATCATTTTTTAAGTTTTTATATTTAACAGATCTGTTAAGTTTAACATGTAAATTTGATAAAGTTAAAGGTTAGATAGATTTTAATATTATAATACTAATATTACATATTATCACTGGGTTCATTTTCATTTATCTTAATGTTTAAGTTGAAAGGTTGCAATAGCTGATTCTACACATTAGAGTTTTAACCTTAGAATTTTCTCTAAATCCTATAGGTATCTGTTATACTTGAATCAACTTGACAATTTATCACATCTTAGAATTTAAGATATGTTAGTCGAACTCATAATGATGAATTCAATAGCAAGTTAGTATAGTATATCACAATAATTTTAGGTGAAGGATAATGTTGAAGGGAAAAATAGTTTGTATAGATTTAAGTTAATTACTTTATTTATAACTTGAAATTTGTAAGTAACTTACAAATGAGTTAATTTACAACTTAAGCAAAAAGCTATTCTATTTATACAAAATTAATTTGCTATAACTAACTACTTGCTACGCTATAAATTTACTAAATATAGATATATATTTCAATAAAAATATACTTAAATATAATAAAATAATAAAAATAATATAAATTATAAAAATAATAAAAAAAATAAAAATAAATTATAGATGTTAAAAAAATTACAAACAAAATAGAATAAATAGGCTATACAGAAAATACAGAAGAATCAGACACAATAAGTTAAACAGAAATTATTGCTGATCACTGTTTAGCACAGCAGTGATATCATCTAACGTGAGATCATTATTGATTGACAGATTCCATGTAATATTTGAAGTTGTAATTTCTTCTGTTGATAATTCTCTTCCAATTTGAATTTTGAACGTAGTAGTGAAAAAGGATTTCGCCTTCAAAATCAAATTCTAAATTTCTAAAAATTTGCAAAAAGAATTTTACAAAATGCATGCTATATTTACGTGTGACCTATTAGAGAAGAGCATGCTGTATTTATATTATCCACTATTGATCTTACAAACATAAGTTTTTCTAATGTTATATAAGGTTAAAATTTGTTGATTTTTAGAATTATGGGATTCAAAATTCTATATAAATAGCTTAATTTCAAATGATCTTCTAAAGTCACATGATAAATTATTTTTCTTAAATATAACTTTTATGCGTGTTGATTTAATTATTTAAATTCAAATTCAAATCTTCTTTAACTTGTCAAATATCAAAAAAATAAAATACCTTCTAATAATCACTCATAAAATGATGTTTAAAAGAAAGCTGAACATATAAAAACTTTTTGTTTGCAATAAAGAAATAAAGCTCACAAACAGTTTGCAACCTTGCAAATTCAAGCATAAGAAGAAGAAAGAAAAAGGCTGCTTATGGCTGATAGGCTAGCATATCTTATAGCTAATCAAAATACTTATAAAGAACCGTTGCGATAAAGAATAAACACATTAGAAGCTGAAAACCTTTGTCAAAAGAAGACGTTTCTAGAGCAATGGTTGTTTTACAAAAACTTGTAGAAAGGTTAGGTATTAACTTCAGTTGGATAGTCTGGGTAGTGGTTGGAATATCTATTTTTACTTGGTCTTTTTCTTGGAATTTTTCTTTGCTGGTAGTTCGTCAGGTTAGGCTGGTAATTGTAGCTAGATTATACATTTTATCGATCATTTTGTCATATACTTAGTAGCTTGATACATTGATCTGATCTTTATTCATGATATGCTTAATCTTTTTCTATATCCAGAAAGTTCATTGAAATTTAATATTTAAGAAATCTATCACGAGAAAATTATTAAACACAAATCTAAAATTAACTTTTGATTAACTGATTATGTCATTTAACTTTTCTTAATGCATAAGTTAATAAATATTACAAGCAGTTTCTTTTTCAAGAAATAACATTTTTATATTTCTTGATTCTTATGATTTTGTTAAATATATAATTTGTTTAGTATATTATTATTCATCAGCAACAAATAGAAGGCTTATTCAACATGTTGGATTTAAAAACATGACTAATTCTACTCAACAATCCAAAATGCATGTCTTTCAGTAACAACAATTAAGAAAAATTTACTAACAAGTTTCTATTATACCAGTTCTTCAATCAGATAAAGAAAAGGAACAAATTGCTAACAATCTTTTTAATGTTGCTAAAACTAATAGATTTTTATATCAATAAAATTTTTTTTGTGATATTAATACATGTAGATCATAATCATCATAATAAACTTTTATTTATGACATCTGATATACTGTAGTTTTGATTAATCAGTATATAAAGTACCCAGCTCTCACCAATGTCAAAAAGCAAAACACATGATTTTTTCAATCATAAATCTTCTGAATGTAACATAACTGGATTTCTAAAAGAATGTGAAGTAGAATCACTTAAACTAAAAATAGATCTTTACCTAAAAAGACTCCAAGATATTGTTTAAATGCGAACAAGGAAACAGGTCTCAAATGGCGCAAATTCTTTTTGATAGAGAAGCAAGTAATTTTTTTATTTTAAAATGAATGCAAGTGAAATAATTGGCGTGGCAGAGACTTGCTAGGTCATCGATCATTCAAGGCTGTTAGTTGAGCCATAAGGCTAGTGTTGAGGTACAGGCGACTTGTTAGATCGTCTGATATTCAAGATTGCTAGTTGATCTGATGGGACAAAAAAATTGAACGAGAAATTATAAATATGCGTTGTAAATTGCTAATTCTATTATTCATTTCAGAATACTCGACCAGATCATTAAGTTACAAGAAAATGGAAGAATGAATGCACATCAGACAGAACGATTGGTGGATCTTTAATTTACCTACACAACTCAACATTTACAGGGAACGCTATGGTTAATAACTCTAGAACTATCAATAATAATAAATTGACTGAAAGTAAAAAAGAACAAAAAGTACAAAAATAGTTAATGTTACTTATTTTTATGTCATTTCATGATATTGATCTTGTATTTTATGTAAGACAAGATCAATAATTTTTTTCAGAATTCTGAAGGAAAATCAGCGGAAACAAGACATTTCAAATGAAATTGATGAGGAAGATGATGAATCTGACTCTGAGGATTCAGAATCAGAGTATTTACTAAGGTATAGTATAACAATTATTTAATTTTATTTTTAGTCACAACTTTATTTCCATATTCTTTTTCAGTAATACAGATATTACAAAGCGTTACTCTCATCAAAACTTGAGTATTTGTTGATTCTTGCAACGCTATGAGCCAATCAAAGAAATGGACATTGTTTTCGAGCATATGCATTGAAGATGTTCACTTCAACAAAGAAAAACAATTTTCAGTTGAATCTTCAATCCACTCGTGGATAATTGACTTAAGTGATTGGAAAATCAAACAGTTGTTCACTGATGATGATTGGTGTAAAATTACAGAGGAGGTCTGTAAATAACCTTTGCGTGTTGCTAAAATGTTATCAAGATTTAGAAATATAAGTAACAAATTCCTTCCTCTCTTCTCCCTCTCTGTTCCTAAAAAAAAGGTTGTGTATTGCTGAATTCAGATCTGAACACCTGCTGATTTAAGAAAAGTATTGGAAATGACATCCTATCGAAACAAGAATGAATTATTTGACCAGGAAATTCATTTTGACGTTGAATAGATTGATTTTGTATTGAGGCACTTGTAAGTTTTTTTCTTATGCTTAACCCTTAATATTGTAGAAATCTCAAGAATGTATACTTTATAAATAGTCTAATGTATTACAAAGACCAGATGAAAATCTCAAATTGGTTCACCTAGAAGGCTATTATGATGCAAACATTTGGTCTTTGATCATTTGATTGTACTTTTAGCAATATTCAAGGGTTACAAATCGTCAGGTATGTTATTTCATATACAATTACTGAAGTTCAGAGATTCTAATAACATTCGTATTATAGGAAAGATTCGTCAAGTATTGTTGTATCAAGAAGAAAAATTGAAAATGAACCTGAAGGAAAGGGCAAAATTAGGACGTCGGCTTGACGGAATTTTACGAACTTATAATGACAATGTAGAGTATGAGACGATAGAGGTGAAGTCATCATTTATCTAAATAAATTTTACGGAACAACTTAAAGACAGACTCAAGTTAAGCAAATCAATGCATATATACTGGTTTATTTGACTCATCTGGTCAAATCAAATGATAAAATTCGACACTTACAGATTGTTGGACTTCAACATTCAAGTATGCAAAATTTTTTTCGTATGAGAAGTTATTATTCAGTTTAATAACTGAAAAATTTTGATTGCAGGGCTCAAACTGTAAATAAATCGAATGTCATCTACAAAGGAATACATATCTCAAAGGAGAAGATCTTATCAAAATCCTGATACAAATAAAAAATATAAAGAATTTTTTCATGGTCTTATTAAGTGTTTAGAGGTCAAAGGTATGAACTGTTCTTGTTAGTTTCTTAATGTAACATTTACACATCAATGACATATAGCACACAACCTTATTTAATGGTCATGAAATGTATTGAGATCATAGATGAGAAATTGCCAGATTTAACTGAGGAGGAATTCATACAAGAGATAATAAACGGTGGCAAATGATCAACAATAGTGTAACAACATCACTACCTTTTATTTCTATTTCTTTGCTATGATCATTTGACACATAATTCACTAGAAACAAATTTGAAGGTTACCAGCATTGTCAAAAAATATGCACGTAAAAAAATGATATAACTTAATCTAGTTGCTGTTAAATCACTATTCATGCAAAAAAAAAAATCGTCCCCAATAGCTTTAATAGTCATCCATAATTCAGGCTCTGTATGTTTATTCTATGTGGTATAGTTTGGGAAAATAAATCACAAATCCATGGGATTTACTGTAGTTATTTAATGCATGTTACTATATCAATAATCTTATAAATTTTTTTTCCATATGTTGAAAGGTTAATCAGATATGATATTATTATAAATACCCAAATCTTCAGGCATGTGACATTTGACCAATAATATGCTAATACCTAACTTAACCAGGTTGGTCAATAAAATAAATGACCAATAGAAAATTGGAATATTTTTTTTATTCTATTATTTTATTGATTTAAACTATAATAAAAATAGGTTTATATTCAGACCACTGATAATATTTAAAGTTTTAATGATTGTTTGGATGTGCTTTTAGCACATTTTGAATTATGTGAATATTTCATCCTTTTTGTTTCATTGCCCAATTCTTAAAAAATGTATTGACTTTTCAAATTATGTCTTCTGAAATAATGAAACTTGTATTACTAAAATATTTAACATATCCTATTATACTTATGTAACAAATTTAATACTCTATATTATCATCAATATTATTGTTATTAATCTTTACCACTATCATCATACCCATTATCATACCTATTATTGATATCATTGCTATTATCAATATTATCAATACTATTAATTTTTAATCAGATTCAAATTCATTTAAATTAGTTGAAATTTTACAAGTCTTAAAAGACTTCTATCTAAAATTACATCATATGAACACTTAACTTATAAATAAACATTGCTAATTCTTACATGATAAAGATTATCTGCAGAAGTTTTTTAGCATAATCACTAACTATTCAGATGTATCATTTCTTTTGAAAATGATCTTTAAATAGTTTATTAATAAAATATTATTATAGTCAGTTTTTTAAGATGCTTAAGAATGATAAGTGAAGCGATATTTTATAGGTGATAAGCAGAAGGTTTATTTTGTAATTAGTTTTAGAAGAGTATCAATTAACTAACAGTTTATTTAATAATAATAATAATGAAATACTGCTTCAGTCAATACACTGTACTATACAAATATATTAAGGAAATTAAACTAAACTATCTTATTATTATCTATTTGACATACAGCTAAGCTAAAAAAAAATGTTCTCTATTTATATAAAATGAAATATATAAAGTTATTTAAAATATAAAAGAAATAAATAAAATATATGAAATAAATATAATATAATAAATGTATAAGATAAATAAAATAAAATAAATAAAAGAAATATATTGTATAAAAAAAATATATGCCATAGATGACATAGAAAACGTATAAGATATATATGATTTTTTAGGGATCAACATCATTTATTTAATTATCATCATCTATATCTTTTTCGTGTAATATTATTTAATGATTAGAAAATACTGATAATCACTAGAAATTACTATCAAATTAAACTTATTCTCATAAAATTTTCTTTTGATTGATTTTTTTAGATATCTTTTAAAAAAATTATATATTAATATTATTATGTATGATTATTCAATTTTTTTTTAAGAAAATCTATACCAATAAGAATTTCTTCTTTATATGAAATTCATTTTTTTTAAAAAATACAAATAGGAGGTAGCTTAGTTTTATTTATTATAGTAGTATAAAATAAATATTAATAATTCACAATTAACTAAAAGAAAAATCATATGATCAAGAAAAAAAATTACAGGTTAAAAAATATCTTAAATTTTTATTTTATGAAAAAATTCCTAAGTTAGCATTTTCATATTATTGCAATTTTTGATTTCTAAAAAATAAATACTATTAGTATATTTGTAATACTAATCAACCTTAAAAATAAATCTTATTATTAAGGAAAATCTTCCTTTAAATTTATTTATTATGAAAGATTATATATATTTTTGAAAAAATAAAAAAAAACTTAAAATTATAAAAAAAAATAAAAAAAAGAAATTTTACCTATAACATATATTAAAATAACAATTAACTAATTTTTTCATTTTCAGATGTATAAATATAAATAATCTTTTTACCTTTCAGATTTATTGTAAAATTGCCTATTATATTAAACCAAATGGGTATTTTATTCATATTTAAAATATTTTTCAGTTTGTAAAATTTTTTCAACTTAAGACGTATGATATATTTATAGAATTCTTCTAATAGTCCTTAAGTTTTACTTAAGAATTTTTGAGAAATTCTTGTATATTATCATAACAATAACCTGTATCTTCTTAAAAATGTTATTAACTAATGATGAAAATTTTCTAAGTATTTTACTTTATAAAATTGCATATGATATAGCTAGACCTTGCTTTATTGTTGAATAATCCAATCATAAAGCTGACTCATTTGCTTATTCCTTTAATTTCAGTTTAGTTTAAACTTTGCAATATCCAATGGCTTATCATATTAGGATTGATGTTAAAATATTTTGCTGTACTATTTTTTTTCTGTTTCCTTTGTATATATAACGACTTCTATCTTCTGTTTTATGGTATATGAAATCCATTTAACAATTTTTGCCTTATGTTTAACAACTTTTCTTTTATTAGGCATTTGTATAAATTGAAAGTATGATTTTGACGACCAGATCATGATGCGTATTATATATTAGATGATCAACTTTTGGATATTTTCAATAAGATTTGTGTTATTTCTGCGTTAGTTAATTCGCCTTTACCCGAAAATAAGCAACACTAGTAAAATATGTTGCTTATTTTCGGAGGAATACGGTATATAAAATGTACTAGTATAGTACAGTACATTTCCCAACCCTGCCTATAGGAATGGATTAAATTTAAAACAAGTGGAGTCTGCTATTAAAAAAGTATAAAAGGCATCGCATAATTCCTAATAATATACTTCACGATATTAATAAAAATCTTAATGCTGGCCAGAATAACGTGATTTATTAAAAATAAATTTGGCATCTGATATTCCAAGGGATCGACGCAATTTTAGCCATATAGATAACGTATCACATAAAAGAATTATCTAATCAAATTTTTGATATTTCGGTAAGATATCTTAAAATAATAAGAAAAGAAAAGAAAAAAAAAACCTTTAATAAGTTTTAAGTGTTCGGAGTGAAGAAGAGGAAATTTTACAGTGGTTAAATGATAATACCATGACAGAACTTTCAAACCATGATTCTTCAACAAGAAAGCGTAGTCTTCGGTCGACAAAGTGTGCGCCGGATTCGAATAATCCACAAGTCACTTCAATAAGTGAACCAATACCATTACTTGAGGAATATGGTTATGCGAAATGTAAACCACTAACATATGTATGTTTAGACGTGATTAATCTTATTCTTATATTCTGAAAAATTTTAACTGTTTTATTGGGTTGTTCCTGTATTAGGTAATGTTCGCTGGGGGTCTTGGTGGTTCGACTGCCGATTTTTTGATGCATAGGTATATATTAAAACTTTTTTTGTTAAATCCGTAATTTCGTCTCATTTCGATCGATTTATCTCCTTTTTTTTTTGTTTTTTTTTTTTAAAAAAAAAAAAAAGTATTGATACAGTAAAAACTCGATTGCAAGGTCAAAAACCAGCCAAACCCCCAAAATATCAAAATATGATGCATGCTTATACTACGATTGTAAAGCAAGAAGGTATAATGCGTGGATTGTATGGTGGTGTTGTTCCTGCGATGTTAGGTTCAGGTAAAATATATTCTTGGGTTTTTCTTGTTCAAGCAATAGAAAGAAAGAAAGGTAAGGTATTGACATGTAAATTTAACTTTTCTTAGTACCAGCTACTACAATATATTTTGGAACGTATGAATTTGTGAAACGTAATATAATTGGATTAAAAACTGGAGTTCCTGACACAGTTGCGCATTTAGCTGCTGGTAAGAAAATAAAATTTAAATTTAACTATTTTTATTGTATCTTTATTTATAATTTCGAATGGATCTTTCATTAGGATCTATTGGTGACTTTATGGCATCTGTTGTATATGTGCCTTCCGAGGTATGTACTAAAATCTTGTAATTTCTATTTTTGATGTGATTTCTAATATATAACGCATTATCATAAAATGATAAATTTTAAGGTGTTGAAAACACGATTGCAATTACAAGGACGATATAACAATCCACATTTTGTTAGTGGTTATAATTATAAAAATACTTGGCACGCTGCGCAGATGGTTCGTTTGCGCCTTGGTGGTTCGTTTGCCATGGGCTACTTTTATTTGATTTAACATTATAATTCGATATTATTTTATTACATAATTAGCTATGTTTCATTAATTCTTTACCCTTTGTTTTAGGTTTATAAATTGGAAGGACCAGGTGCATTTTATCATGGATATAAAGCAACGCTATTAAGAGATGTACCATTTTCAGCGTTGCAATTTGCATTTTATGGTAACTTTTAAAAAAAGGATTTTTTTTTTTTTTTTTTGTATTTAGTGATTTATTTTTTCGTATAACTAACAATTCAAATTTTCATAGAAAAATTTAAATTATGGGCAAAGATGTACAAAAATAGCAATTATTTAAGTTTACATTGGGAGATTGCTACAGGAGCTTTGGCAGGTGGATTAGCGGGTGCATTAACAACGCCATTGGATGTAATTAAAACATTATTACAAACACAAATCAAAAAACCTTCAGCAATAAAACAACCCTCATCTACACCTTCAGCTGCACAAAAACCACCACATTATTATTATACAGGAATATGGGAAGGAATGTTATGGAACTATAGACATCAGGGGATTGGAGGGTTATTTAGAGGAATCGGACCACGTGTAGCATGGACTGCTATGCAAAGCGGTTTAATGTTTGTTATTTATGAACAAGTTCTCGAATTACTGGACAAAGTTACGAGTTGGAGAAAAGGTGAAGAAAACACAGAACAATAATAACAATAATAAAACTTCCGAAATTATTGGGAGGATTAAATGAAAAAAATAAAATAAAATAAATAAATAGATATTTTGGGAGAATAATGGTAGACGATATCGCTCATAGGAATATAGATATGTATTTACATGGGAAAATTTGATTTATTTTTATTAATGTTTTTCAAAAAAAAAAAAAAAAAAAAAGTAATGTACATTGGATCTAAGGTACGGCTCTTGAAAATTTTTAAGGTTTCAAAAAAAAAGTTATTTATCATAAAAAATTTCGAAATTCATACGTTCTGATTAACGTATAATATGTTTTTCATGGGTCTATCAGTTAAAATTCCTTGCAAGACAGAATTAAGAATTACCGGGCCGATTTTAGATTTTCACGTGAACGATCTATTTTATCGCTTTGTCAATTATAATATGGTTCTTAGCTGTCATTGGTTTTTACCGAAAATATCCTTGAACCACCAATTTAATAAAAATTACTTGGTAAGGAGTAATTTTTATTAAATCAAGATGTATTGAAAATAATTATTTAAATAATTAACTTGTTTAAAAAGTTTTATTATACTTGACCTTATACTATTTTGTTTGGAAAAAGGAAATAATAGAAAAAAGGTAACACAGTATATTACACAATTTATCATATCCTTCAAAATCATTATTTAATAAATATACTAAAAAAGGAAAAAAAAATTTTTGTTTTTTAAAAACTTATAACGTTCGTAAATTAAATATTCAAGTAAATATAATATACACTTACAGGGAATAATTTCCATTTTACAACCTTTCCATATTCATCCCAATATTTTCCATATTTACCTCTACATCTAGCATCATCTCTCCAAATACGATGAATTAACAAAATCGTCATGTAAACAATATAAAAATAAGGCAGTAAATGATGAAATCCACAAGTAAGACACATTGCCAATGATATAAGCAAATCGCCAACATAATTAAAATGTCTAGATATTCCTATAAAAAAAAAAAGATTTAATATATATATATTTATATATATGTATATTTTAAAAAAAGAGGCTTACCCCAAAAACCACTTGTAATTAAAATACTTGAATGAGTTTTTCCATCACTGGTAACAAATTTTGTTTTAATAAATTTAGCAGGTTTACCCCAAACCGTACAAACACCATTTGTTCTTCTAACAATATCTTTTTGATGGTTTACAGCTCGGAAGATATAATAACCGGAAAGTCCAACTCCAAGAACAAATAAAAAGTAAGGAATTGAAAGATCAATTGGATTTCGAACTAAATAATGCGATTGAAGTGTGTACTAAAAAAAAGGATTGAGAGATAGATAGATATTGATCAAAGAAGACAATGTATCTAATTTAAAATAGATAAATATACGCTACCATCCACGGAAGCCAAACGGTGTCGCCCCATGCCAGATAAAATCCAAAATGATCATGAGCGATATCTTTTTTTAAAAATGAAAAGTTAACAGTTTATAATTAACATAAATTATAAATTTCAATTGAACAATCATTTACTATCTACTTAAAACAATTCACCAATAGTTCTAAGGTACCAATCCTCATTATAAAAGAAATCCAAAACATAGACGGCATGCAAGAAATTCAATAGGATCATTGAATTTGTTACATAACCTAATTCAAAAAATTTAAAATTCAAAATAATAAATATATCAATTAAATTTATTAAATATAAAAATGAATTAGAAATCACTTTACCAATTTTGTTATATTGGGCGGCAGCAAAAGACATATTAATTAATGTCCATGCTATAATGCCCGGTCTACCATTATGAAATAATTTAAAGTCCCAATATTTTCCAAACCTTGGGTTCATTTCAATACCCATCAACAAATCGTAAATAAAGCTGCCAGAAAATTTTCGATCTTCTGCATGCGAAGGCATCACGTATGCTTTGATGAATGAGAAGAGGGTAAGAAAATAACCATATATATTGGCAGCTATGAAAAGAGAACCCCATTGATCATGGACGATGGAAGCATCCCACCATTTGAAGTAAAATGCACCAACCAAATAAAGAGTATGAGTAATTAACCAAGCTAAAAGTCCATTTACCTAAAAAAAGAGTAAGAAGTGTGAGGCTTTTAAACAGATTCGATTTGGCGAAAAGATTAATAATTACCTTATAAGGTAAAATGTGTCCAGCTGGAGTTCTTTGACCATAACCAATTTTTGCCGGCAAGATAGCATAAAGTATTGCTTGAAAACTTAACCAAGCGAAGTAAATTTTTATGCCATCTAATGAAAATTGAGGAAGCTTTTGTAAAATAACAGATTCAAAAGCTTCCTTAGAAAAATCATTTGATTGGAGAAGAATAATCGGCTCAATTATAGAACATTGATAATGAGTGCAAACCACCCAAAAATAAACCACCAAGAGTGGACAACAAGTGAGAATAAGAGTAGACAATAAAACAGTATTATATGATATATCTAAAATAAGGTTAATAATTAGTGGTATTATTCATTTGACCTTTTAAAAAAAGGAGTATAAAATTGTATTTACCTTTATCACGACCCCAAGTTTTTCCAGTTTGTGCTTTCAAACTTACTGAAGGCTCTTCATCCTTGGAAGTTTTCGAACTTCGCTTTGAAGACATAATGAGAAAAGTTCTTTACTAACAAAAAAAAAAAGTACTGGTTAATTTAAATAATTTAAATAATATCGGAACATTCTCTAAAATAGGAACTGATAACCGATTATCTCAAAAATTTTTTCGGGAAAAAAAATTAATCCTTTTAGGAATGATCGGCGAAATATAATTTGATTGGGGGCCGAATTAATGAATTCAAGACTTTTGACGGAAAGATGACAGAAGTTGAACAAAATTCTAGCTCAAATGCAACAAATAAACCTAAATCAAAAAAATATCGAAAAGAAAAGCGTAATTATTTTCTGTTAAGTAATTCCTGAAATATTACTGACACACCAATTCATTGTTTAATTTCATTTATTTTGATGTATAGCGTGGGATACAGACGATATAGATCATTGGAAAATTGAACCATTTTCACGAGAAGATAATCGATTTACATTCACGGAAGAATCATCATTTGCAACATTGTTTCCAAAATACCGCGAAAAGTACTTAAAAGAAGCATGGCCTCATGTCACCAAAGCTTTAGAGAAAGTGGTATATATATGTGTATATATATATTATTTACCCCTAAATAATGTAATAAAGTACCTCCTATTTTACCTGGTAACTTCATGAAATAGGGAATTTTTTGCGTGTTGGATTTAATAGAAGGTAGCATGACAGTGAAGACTACACGAAAAACGTACGATCCTTATGCCATTATAAAGGCGCGAGATTTAATTAAGCTTTTAGCTAGGAGTGTTCCATTCTCTCAGGTGAGTTGTCATAATTTTATATGATATAATGTTTCTTTAATTGAAGACCGACTTTCTCTGAAAATAGGCTGTGAAGATTCTTGAGGATGGCATAGCATGTGATATTATCAAAATTGGTAATATAATCGGGAATAAAGAAATATTTGTGAAAAGAAGACAAAGATTAATCGGGCCAGACGGATCAACTCTCAAGGTTTTAATAAATTTTTATCCTTAATGCTTTATTTGATATTAATTGACACAAATTTATAATTTTTTGATGATGAGTAGGCTATCGAGATGTTGACCAAATGTTACGTGATGGTTCAAGGAAATACTGTATCGGCTATGGGACCATATAAGGGACTAAAAGAAGTTAGGAGGATAGTTATTGATTGCATAAAAAATATTCATCCAATTTATCATATCAAAGTAATTATTTAATTTACAATTATTATTTTTTATTTTTTATTTATTTTATTTTATTTTATTTTATTTTATTTTTTTAACTGGAACAATATATTTTTGAATAGGAATTAATGATAAAAAGAGAATTAGCTAACGATCCAAAATTAAAAAACGAATCTTGGGAGCGTTTTTTACCTCAATTTAAGAAACAAAATGTTAAAAGACCAAAGAGAGTTATTAAAAAGAAGAAAGAATACACTCCTTTCCCACCTGCTCAAATTCCAAGCAAGGTGCGAAATAATTTAAATTTGAAAATTACAAAATATATGTATTTTATGTATATTTATTTAAAAGAAAAAAAAAACATAAATTTTTTTTTTATAGATTGATTTGCAATTGGAATCTGGTGAATATTTCCTTAACCCACAAGAAAAGGTCCTTCATGAAGCGGAAAAGAAAAAAGTAATTTTACAATTTAACTCCCTCTTTTTTTTTAAAAAAAAATAACAAAAAGGTAAAACATTCACTTCATTTTTATTTTTTAAGGAGAAACAAAAAGAGAATTCGTTGAAACGCAAAACCGAAAGAGAAAAGGCATTCATACCACCCGTTGAAGAAAAAGTGAAGAGAAAAAGAAAGAAACAAAAGACAGTTGAAGAAACTGAGTCATAGTCATTTGAATGAATATATATATATTACGAATATTTAAAGGTTAATTCAATTGATAATTTGTTGCTTTATTCCAAACTAAATAATATTATTATGTACATCTAATTCATAAATATAATAAGCAGCTCTATACATTAAATACCTTCCTTTAAAAACCGTAAAGTTTAATTAACATTATAAAGTTTTAAATAAATTCTTAGCTTTTAAATAAAGTATCCCAATGGGGTGGAACTCCCCATCCATGTTGATTGGCAACTCTAATGTAAGCACTCATTGCCTCAGCTGGACTATATTCATTCCTCCAATTTCGGTCAAGTCTTGCAGGAGGATTTAAAGTGCTTAACGCCAATTTGACCTGTAACAAAACTGCCTCCATCGAATATTCAGGAGACCATCCTCGATCACGAGAGTTGCCCATTGTTAACAAATCCATACAAATTGATCCTCCAACTGTAACCTAGTCAAAAAAAAAAAAACAAACGAACAAATAAATAAATATAATATATATATATATATATATTTTTTACTAGAAATGTATTGAATTATTTGCTTACATGACCACCACCACCATTCATGAATCGAAGAAGTCTTGGACGAATTACACGAATGTATCTAAGGGAATGAATTTGTAAGTAAATTTATTTAATAAAAGTCCTTCCAAAAATAAAACTTACGGGGGTAAGTTAGGATAATCTGGAGCAAAGCGAACTTCCAAATCAATGCTTTTAACTTTGTGCCTTGCCATATCTTGAGCCAGCGGAATAGTCGGATCAAAGTTTTTGAGTTGCACGACCTATGAAAGATCATGGATTAGCATCCATCATATCATAAATTTAAGGAAAAAGATAGAGTACAAACCCATTGGTAGACCGAACGCAACCTGTCAAGATTTACGTAAAATCCCAAATCACTAGCGTTAGATGGTGATTCCTGGTTATGTATAATCATTCTCAATTCCTTATAAATACGTTGAGTAGCTGATTTGGTCGAGTTTGCTAGAAAAATAAAAAGAAAAGACGAAATAAACCTTGAAGCCTACTGATATAGTACATTATATATTCATTGAATGGGGGGATCGGTCTTCAACCGCTAGTCAACATATGTTATCAATTATAAGACTATAAATAAAAAATCGATCCCGTATAATCCTAGTAGACTATATAATAAATAATTATTTCATATATATAGGTGTGATGGTACGCTTGAATTTGAACATACTTGGAAAAGGTAATAATGTGAGATCAAATTCATCTAAAAAGTATAATAAATAATTAGCTTTCGAAATCAAACTATACAAAATGTTTAAAATATCAAATATACCTTCATCATGTTCTTCAACCTTTTCGACCTCCGAGTTTATTTTTGGCACTTTTACTTGGGAACTACTAGCTTCACTTTCTTCAGTCTTTTCGTTCCTCCTTTTATGTCTTGAATTGTTGCCAACCATAGAATTCATCATATTTGACACGGTTTTTTGTATCTTTTTTGACATATCTATTTTATTTTATTTTTTTTTTTTTTAAAAAAAAAAAAAAAAGTTTAGAATTCATATAATGTATGTGCTTTCTTTTTCCCAATGCAACTTTCTTTTTGCAATGGAATTCTCCATTAAGAGCTATGCTAGCAAGGTCGTAACACGAAAGAGCTTCGAAAACGGAAAACACGCACTTAAGCTTAGAAACAAAAAAAAAAGACGCGCTATCAGAGCAACAATTCTGTCCGCTTTAAACTTTGTCGCCCTGGGAAAGAGAAGAAACCGCTAGTGGGGAGGTTATCAAAAACTTATTTAGCTTAGACTTGCCTAAAGTGTTTGGGTATAGAAAACTTTTCCGGATGTTGATATAGGAATAAATTTGTCTTTAAATATTGTTAAATGAAAACCTTTTTATATTATATAATGAAGAGCTAGCTGTAGAGGTTATATCGATATGATTATTCGAAATTGATTATTGTGACATTTTTGTCTCCTTATATAGTAATCTGAAAAATGTAGCACAATTCAAAAAAAGCCTGGAATGCCTAATGACTTAGGATAAGAACTCATTGTTTCTATTATCATAATATCGGTGTACACTTTCCAAGACTTTGGACAAAATCATTGGACGAAAATTTTGTCATTAGTATTCTCGATTTATGGATCAATGATCGGATATTGTGTTTTTAGTAAAACTAATAAAATTTTATTTCAAATTTTGCCGATGCAAACTCAATAATGAATTATTGATTCCTAATTTTAAACATATATTCGTTTCAGAACGCAATTTAGTCTTTTATTCGTGCTTGGTTCTTTTCTTAACGCAGTCGGATGCAAATATTTGGAAGGGTCTTGGCATCACTAAACTAGATTAAATATTCATTCTTTACAAGTGAATATAGATACAATATACCATTTTCTGGTATGATTCAATAAAAGAAAACAAACATTATTTCATGTGATCGTATATAGTTTATTTTTTTAAATAGTAGTCTTTCCGATTGCAATTTTTTTTTTTTTCATTAAAGACGATCTGTTAATCTTCGTAAGATATTATTAATTTGATGGTTAAATTTCAAATTCGTCTACTAATTTATCAAAGCCCTTTTACATTCATTCGTAAAATTATTTTATTCAAGGTGATTATAGTGTTTTTTATAAGGTCAGACTTCAATTTTTTTTTTTTTGTCCCAATGACCAACATTCTGGCCCACTCCATAATATTAATGAAAATCACAAAATAGAACAAAAAAAAAACCGTATCGCTGGGAGGTATATTTAAACTCCACTTTCCATTAAGGCTCATAAAGAGCTATATGAAGATTGAAATTTTCAATAAGATGATCTTATCTATTAACGAAAATTTTGAAGTCTAGCCTAATGTGCATGTTTGAATGAAAACTTTGTTAACAAGATATAAAGAATTTAGTTGTAATTACACAAATAATAAACCCTTTTAGATATAGGAATTTAGATACTTAAGGCAACATTAGTTTTTTTTCCCTTTTTACTTAATTAAATTATCGTTTGTTATATAAAATACCAACAATACTTGACATGAATTATAATAAACATATTAAAATTGTAAAATTGTAAAGCAATTTTATTATGTCTCTTACTAACTTCAAGAATCAAAGGTATTCATCTAGCTTAATTGTGTATCGCTTTCCATGAGAAAATCTTTACTTGTTATGTTGAATGTATGCCTATTTTCCAATTATGGAAAATATGTCAATATAATTGAAGCACTTTCTACTACCCGGATTTGTAATCAAGTAAATAATTTTTTTTTGTTGAGACAATGGTCTTGGCATTTTTTTCAGGCCGAAGACCTTCTAAGCATTACAAAAGATAAGGGTTAGCATAACATATCCAAAGGTTTCATTCCAATGAAACGAACAAATGAAGATAAAAAAGGGAAGAATATGATCGATTCTATGATATCATGACTAGAGATTTGCATTTCTAAACAGTCCAGGAAAAAACATAAGCATATATGATAGTCCGCCATGATATTATTAATTGTCCTGAGCGAAGCGAAGGACTATATATTTCTGTGCATTTGGTCATGTGAGCGTTTCTCTGTCCGCCACGTGATTTTCGTCCAATAATTCGCTCAGGACTCACAACGGTCCCCGTTTCCTAGTGAATAAAACATTCCTTGGGATAGAATATAGTTAAACTCATAAAGTACCAAAACACGGAGGGTTAAATTGTTCACATTTAGTTTTTAAACTATTCGTTGAATCCGATAACAAGTCAATAATAAAATTGTTTCAATGAATAATCAAGATATACCCAGTTTTAGCTTCTTGTAAATTATCACTTTGATCTAAAATCTTGATATTGATGACAGCTACGGACGTATTGTTCTTACATTCAAGTCAACCATTTTGTTCCAAGCGACCAATTCTTTGTCCCATAAACCATATTAATGAACAAATGGCCATTTGACTTTTATGAATTCTGGGACGATGATAGTCAGAATTAACTACCTTACTCCAAAAAAAGTGGAGTCTGTGTTACACATTAAATCTCTGATTGGCTAAATTGGAACTAAAGACTGGCTTCACAACCGATTATTTTATTGATGTCAGTGCCATAACGTTAATTTACAATATATAGCCGTACGACGCTATTACTTTCCTTATCAGAAGCGCAATTAAGGAACTGCTCCAGATTAGCACATAGATGCAAATTCATTAGACATAATGGATTTATAAAAAAAAAAAAAAAAAACTTTAATACTCTGTCCATAACGGACAGTTTGAGTTTAGGACAGTTTAATAATAATATAGGAACAATTTATTGAATCTATTTATGGTGAAAATACTATAAAAATAAAGAAAACAAAAAAGACACTGCCTTTTCTGACAAGGATAATAATTAAAGAAGAATTTTTAAAATTAGTTTGTGCCCAAAACCATCTATAACTTCTATAACTAAAAGTTTAACCAAAAAAACCTTGTACGTTTGTTTAATCTGAACGATTTACATAATAGGATACATATGTTTAATTAACATTGTTTTTTTTAAATAATTTCTCAACCATAAACGCCCAAAGCAGGTCATTGGCCGATAACAGGAAATTCTTTCGGTTCGCATATACGCAATTTACATACATCTTTACATGTCTGATCAGCATCTCTACAGCAAGAAGCCTTGGGATTGCAAGTGCAGGTAGGCTTACCACATTCCTGAACGCATTTATCATTACCAGGAGTACAACAATTAATTCTGCAGTTTGGATTTTTTTGACGTTTCAATAGATTCGTTCCCGTTCGTTGATCGTTCGGATACGCGAGAGCAACCACGGCAAAGATAGTTAAGAGGAGTAAGAAAAGATTGAATTTCATTTTGATTTTTCAGAATTTTTCAGTCAAGTTTTTGTCGATTTTATTAATTTTCATCCTTTCCTTCCTCGACCCCTTTATATAATGTTTTCCCATCGTGATTTATAACCATGATTAATTAAATTCTCTATTATTAATCAAAATGATTTGTTTCATTAAAAAAAAAAAAAAGAATTAGCCTTATGAAAACATTTAATCCGTGTTTTATGTTCCGTGTTTTTTTTTCACCAATAAATGTAGCATCTTCATGTAATTTATGATTAAAATTACTTGGCTTGCTTAGGCCCTTACGTGAATGTAGCTTATTCATGGATTTTTTTTGCAAAAAGTATGGGGTAAGTACCAATCCTATGAAGTTTATAATGTACGGCCTATGGTTTAAGTCGATTTCTTGGACTTTTTATCTTTCTCTGTGCTTGGTTCATCTTTTATAAAAACGATGATCGTTCATACGAATCATTTCCACCTAGAGTTGAATTTCCCGGTCTTTCTTTGGATCGGTCCCATCCCTAGTTAAACTAGATCCAAGACGATCCATGATGACGTATGTCATAAAAATGTAGCACAGGAAACCCTGTCAGTTCCCCGTCTTACGATCCGCGACTGTATATTCTAAATTTGTAAAAATTAGATATTAAAACTTATTATTAAAATTAAGTAAAATATAAATTTTAAATTAATAATTATAATATTGTATAATAAGATTTCTTTTATTTGAGTCTTTTAAATCTTTATAAGGATAACCTTTTAAACTATTATTCTTTTACATATATTACCTATAGTATTCTTTTGAATTTTTTCTAAGCAATCTTAAAAATCTCATTATTTTGTATATATTTTAATTTCTAAATAAAAATTTTTTCAGAAGAATAAGTATTATCTTCAATAAATTCTATTTTAAAAATTTCAGTATTTTAAAAGATCCAAAAAAAATACTAAATTGTAATTATAAATTTTATTGTAATTTTTTCTATTTTAAAGTAACAAAATTATATATAAAATAGTAAAAAGAAATATAATAATCAATTTATTATCTATTATAATATAAATGATAATGTATTATTATATGATATGTAAATATAGATCATGTAAAAATTAAGAGAGAAATTTAGGATAAATTGTAAATTCTTTAATGTAAGTTAAGATTTTTTTCAATATTACTATAGTGCTAGAAGGTTATACCTAACAATCACGTGATCAAAAAATCAAGCATTTTAAAATCTATCTACATATTGAATAAATGAATTTTCAAAAAACTAAACCAATAACTTTGTAATCCAGCTTATATTTTATAAAGTTATCAGTTTAGTTTTTTCAAAAATTCCTTATATAAAAAGTTATGAGTATTTAAAATCTATATGTTTCTTCAAAATTGAAACAATTACGTGAATATTTTATTATATTTGATTGGTTAAAATCAAAGTTTAAAGTATATTAAAATATTTTATTTAATTCTAAAAGTTTTGAAAGTCAAAAATAAAAAAAATTTCAACATTAGTCAACCTAACAATATAGGATTTACAATTTGCATATATCTATATAAATGCTAATCTTTTTTATCAGCCTAACTTTAAATATTTTTTCTAAAATTTTTAGTTTTAAGATGAATTGTAAAATACTAAATAACAAAAAACATTAAATAGTTTAAGTCTATTCAATTAAAACTAATAATTTATATACTGATGGGTAACAATAGTCACTAAATTATCGTTTATAAAATAAAAATATACATAGAACACTAGATTCTTATATAGATGATTGTTTAGTAATTATTATGATCCAATGGCCTAAATAAACTCAATAATAAAAAAAATTAATACTAATTAGTTTATAAAATAATATTATATTTAATTATAATGTAAATAAAATCATATACTTATCTTATTAATCATTTATATTATTTATTAATAACAAATATTTACGTATTTAAATATTTATTTATATTTTGTCTTAAAAAATTATTAATAAGCATTTAAATAAAATAAAAACTAACTTTCATTCATATATATATTAATACTTATTGAATAATACTCTTAATTAAAATGTCACCTTATAAAAAAAGGAAATGAGAAGCACATAATTTATCTAGAAAGTATAGTCATTTTGTATTCTAGAAAAAAAATATAATCACCTATATATAAAATGTAACAATCAATATGTAAGAGAAAGAATGGGAAGAATAGAAGGAACAGATAGAAGAAAAATTTGAAGTGAGTAATAAAAGGAAATAATATACTGAAATTTTGAAAATAATAGTATGAAAAAAGAAAAAAGAAAGAACTTAAAAAGAATATAGATGACATACTATTAGAAAATAAAATATCAACTAATATATAAAATCAAACTTTCATTAAAATAATAACATGAATATCTTTAACATAAAATCTGATACTATCTATTAACAATATAATATAACTACAAAGCTTAATAATATCCATCAATACTAAGATGCAATCACCTCTAATATATATACAAAGCCCTGCATCATCTTCTAATTCTATGATAAATCTTTGAATATATCTTAAAGGAGTTAATCAAAAATACTTATTTACAAAATCATTCAAATTAAATATATCTATATATGATTATTAGTATCTAACGAATATAAGTAAATTTATAAAATTATTGTTAGATAAAGAAGGTAAAATGAATGCTAATAGACAGATGTTGAAATTATGTAGAACAAGAGTGATTAAATGTCAAGATGCATTTGAAATTGGGGAGATCATTATATACAAACAGAAGAACTTATTGTTGATCATCAAGGGAAACATACAAAAATGGAGAGGTTTTCTTAATAACAAAGATATTTCTGAAGATTATTGTGTATAATTACATCAGCAAAAACTTGAATTACGATCTTTTGAACTCTTAAAGGTGTATATTGAAGAAAATATATTAAACAAGGTCATGTTACTGAAATGATATGCTAATACTATATGCATTTGTGAGGATATGGTTATGATAAAAGAAAAAAAGGTATTTATTACAATAGGCATAAGCAGTCTAATATAGTAGCATATAGAGTTAAATAATTAAAAAGAATGTTTAAATATAAGAAATGCATGAAAGATTTTGATAGTAATATGATAGAAATTATAATAGAGCCCTAGCTCAAGTAAGAAAAAAGGAAAATAATACAAGTGACATACAATAAATATCACTTTTATATAAACAATAGTTAGTGAAAAGTTTGGATTATAGAAGATGAAGCTAATTTTATGTTTAAAATACATAGAATGTTCTATTATAGTTTTAGCTTTTCTTAGCCCATGTTATAGCTTATTATGACTATCTGATGAGCAGTTATAAGCGAACTTGCACATAAAATATAAAAAAGCATTTCTCCTTCATTCTATATAGTCAGATGGATACTAGAAATCTAAATATATACTAGAACAACTTGTATAAAGAGCCATACCAATATTTGAAATATTACATTTCAGATGTGTTAATATCTTTTGTTTTAACCAATTAATAAATCACAATGCTATGACAAAAGATGTATTGGTTACAGCAAAAATAAACCTGAATCTTAGAGGAAGATAACCTAAGATACGTAATGGCTAATATATTAATAAACATGAAGAAAGATGTGAGCAATCAATGATATCTCCAGATGATTACTTAGTAATAAAACAGAGAGGCTAACCAAAAGGAATTAAATAAATATTTGAAGAATATAATCTATGGTCAAAAAAAAATTCGTTTAGTTTATAAATAGTATTCTAATAAAAATAATAATAATTCAGAAGTTTTGGACTGCTATGCATGACGAATTATATTACAACAGCTCAATTTTTATGAATAACAATCAATGTTAGAGAAAGCAGTTACTAGAGTAAAGCATATCTTTAAACTTTATCTTATATTTCATTGTGAATACAATTTTATAGAGATATTGGAATTATACTAAGTGAGAAACTAGATGAATATGTAATTACAACTATAAAGACTTACTTTAACAGCTTTCAAGAGTTCTTAATGATGTTTTTGTAATAAAGATTCATAAATTCACTTGTAAATCTTAAAGATATATAAATGCTTACAACAAAGGGTTAGTGGGTATATCTGCTGAATAGGTTATTACTAAATATAAATCTCATTATTATTTATATGAAAATATTAAAAAAAAAATAGATCTAAATAAATAATTAGTACTTGTTTTGTATGTAATAATTTGATATAAAAATAAAATTTTAATTAATTCACAATTTAAAAGAAAATTTTTTTCCTTCTGCATAATTAGTATAACTTACATAATATTGCAATATTATTAGTCAATTAAAATTGAAACAATTTGCGTGATTATCAAATATAACCTTCTAGTATCATACTAAGTTTTTTACCTTATATAATTATAAAATATTTATTATACTAAGTCATATCTTTTGTGTTTTCATTTTCATAAATATTTTAGAAATTTAGAATTTTTCAAAATATAAAATTATATTTATTACATTTTATTTATTATATAATTAATTTCTTAATAAAGTAATACTAGCTAAAAGTCATATAAAGGTAAAAAATTTAGTAGTAATACTAGAATAAATTATAATATATAAGATACTTATATAATTTAAAAAAATAATAATTTTATATATAAATTGAATTATTCAATATTATAAAATTTTTATTAATATATATTTAAAAAATAAATACATAGTCTATGATATATAATAAAGTTTTTATACTATTATATATGATTAATTCTCCTGTTTTTTAAAATACTATTAAATCTATTATTCTTCATCATTAAAAAAATATGTTATATTTAAAATAAAATAAAAATTATTTTTGAAATGAAAAAGTAAGCATTAATTTATGATTTAATATTATATAAATTTTATATTATTACACATATTATTTATTAAGATTTATAATAACATAATATATATTTTAATTAAGAAATAAAAAAATTGGTAAAATAATTAATAAATAAAAAATGCAAATATACTGAAAAATATTTTTTCAGAAGAAAGAAAGGATAAATAAAGTTATAA